ATTAATCGTAAGCCGACTGCAAATCTGGTGTCGACACCTGATCGATGGTATAATATTATAATTGCGATTAGTGATATCTCTATTCCCGTTAAACTATTCTATTCCTGTTCTATTCCAGGGATTAGAACAATGAAGAGCGCACAGGATAGAATAGAATAGAGCCGTTTTGGAACGGAATAGAACAGTTAAAAAAAAACGTGGAATAGAGACATCACTAATTGACACCTACATGAGGGATTAGTTGAATGTATCAATAAATTAATAAGTGAATGGTATTAATTGAAGGATCGTATTTTGTGCGCAATAAAGACGGTGAGAATATTGGTGTGTTTAAACCACGCGATGAAGAGCCGTTCGCAGAACATAACCCGAAATGGCCGAAGTACTTACAACGATTTTTGTGTTTTTGTTGTTTTGGTCGTGCATGCCTCATACCAAAAAGTGGTTTCCTTTCTGAAGCTGGTGCATCACTCGTCGACGAACGACTTCAGGTTGTTCACACTCATTTCTCCGCATTTGTTAGCTCAAGTATCTGGAACAAACTCCTTCAAATATGAATTATTGTGATATATAAACCTTATTGATATGCGTTTGTCTATCGAAAATCGCACGACATCAAGAATTTCTTATTAGACGATGGATGACGGCAAATATTGCAAGGCGCAGCAGAACAGCTTTTTTACTGTTCGTTCAGCATGAGATATGTAGACTCATTCCATTCAATGAAATATGAGAAAACATTTGAATTGTTTCTGTTGTGATTGCTTGAAGTGTTGAATTTTTAAATAGCCAAACGCATAGCTCAATTTTTTGTGACATTTCGTTGAAAATTTTTCAAATATGCTCGTTAGTTTTCAGTTGAATATCGTACCAAAAACGCGTATTATTCGAATGGCATCACAATCATTCTTCTATCCAAAAAAGTTATGCGGACGTGATGAAGTTCGCCCTAAAATTGGCAGTTATCAGGTGAATCAACACTCTCACGTTTCCGTTCGAAATCGCTTTGAAACAAACTCCTGAATGGTACTGCATAGTGGGTTTATAGTGAAAATGCCATTGCAAAAAGTTATTTTATTCCGTCATAGTGAGAGCTGAGATGCCATGAATGCAACAACTGAATCTACCTCGGTTCCACGTTCGGGTGGTGATCTTAGATTTTACATTCCCGACATGAACATTTGGAACGAGCTTTCTTTATGGTTTACGTACAATGTCCAGTGTAACCAGGGGACTGATGCGATTGTGTTATATTCACGAGAGACGTCAAACTTTCTATTGACATTATTCAACGTTTATTCGTAACACGTCCACAAATGTAGGTGTTTGTGCACGGATATAAGCCAGCGATTGAAATCGCATCAGAATGGATTAACGATGACGTACGATCACCGTTATCTGCTGATGAAAAAGCGCGTTTCTTGCATCTCTTCCAGAAGATGTGCATTCTGGATTATGTGATTCGTAATACGGATCGAAACAACGACAATTGGTTGATCAAGTGAATTTTTATTTT